TTTGTACGATGCAAAATTCAGATTAGAAGAATAGAAATAAAATTAGTCATGTTAAATAAAATTTTTCTCAAGTTCAAAAAAACTTCCATCAGAACTTTTCAATACTTTCTTTTCTAAAGTTTTTTTTAGCTTGTATGAAATATTTTTAATGGTATTGATTAGTATATTTTTGTACTACAGTAGATACTTTGCTCTTTTTAACAACAAATGAATGAAATATTTATGATTTTCTGTTACAATGCTATAATAAAAACGAAAATAATGTAGAAATTTTGTCCCGTTCTTTAATAATACTCATTTATCATTGTCATTAATAGAAAAAAATCAATGCATTGAGTTAAAACATAGAGGAGATTTTTAGTTGATTATCTTTGATAATAAAAGGAAAGAAAAAAAACTAAAAATAATGTTTGAATATCTTAGAAATAAATTATCGATTACATCAGACATCTATTGAAATATATTTTCATAATTTATTTATAGTCTAGCCAAACAAATAGAATGAAATAAATATCTATCTATTGATTATGGATTCGAGTTTAAGTCAACCGATCAATTTAGTTTACTTCTAATAAATGATCTCCTTAAAACAACAACAATATTTTGAAAATAAAAAACAAAAAAAATATTCAACTTCTTTTTCATTATCTCTCACTTACTTGTACAACTCTCTCTATGATTTCTTCTCTTTATCTACTAATAGTTATTTTATTTTAATCATAGTATCATCACATTCATATATTTCTTATAGCTTTTAATCATATGAATCCGTTGGATGATCTAATTTAAGTAAACATATATTAATATTTTCCTTTTTTGTTTTTTTTTTTATTCAATCGAAATTCATTCGATTTGTTTACTTTGAAATAAACAAAAATAACGTTTTTTTTTTTGTTTTTCGTAATACTAAATGTACATCTATATAATTTGTTAAATTTAACTAAAGAAAAATCATAATATTTTTCGAAATAAAACAATATTCTTTCATTTATCTTTCATTAATATGTTTATTTTTATTTTTAGATAATTTAATGTAGATCTCTTCTCACAACAATTTATTGATATCATCATATATTTTCATATAAAAATGAAAAATATTCAATTATTTTATCAACAATTTAACATCATCATCATCTCTTAATTGGATTTATAATGTTTCTTAATAAGACAAAACTATGTTATTCATTCGTAAATTCATTTTAAAACAAAAGCAACAACAACAACAATAACAATTAACTATAACATGTAATAAGCCATTAAAAATTCAAGATAATATCTATTATAATTGTTGTTTTTTGATTTAATACCAATATTTTTTCATATTTTTCTTTAATATTAGACCAAGAAGATATGATTGAAATATATTTCATATTAAAATTTATTCTATTTCAAACTTTGAAAAATTACTCAAATTATCATATTGATAAAAATAAGTGAATATATAACTATTAATAGATAATTGAAGAAAAATTAACTTGATTATATTTATTTAAAACTCTTCATTCATCTCAAAAAGTCACATTTGTTGAAGAAAATTCCAAATTGAATTTTTCTTCATAAGAAGATAAAACGAAATTTCTCTTTCAAAAACAAAAGTATAGATTTCAAGAGATCAATTTTCGTTGAACAATCAAATCTTAAGAGACTTTTCAAACAAACATCGATCTTATTATTGTTTTATTTTGTTGAAAGTTTTTCAAAACATTTTTTTCAATTTTCGAAAAATTGTTATTTTTCTTGCTATTAAGATTAAATAAATTATTATTATGTGTAGTTTGTATTATTTCTTATGTTTTTTTAAAAAATTCCATTTCGAACTGTTTTCAATATGCTATTTTCATATATTTTTTTTTCTCAAATTCAAAAAACAAAATTCATTTCTAAATTTTCTCATTATTGTTCTTAAATTTTACTTTTTAATCAATAACATTGTAACTTCTCTCATTTGATTCAACACATCATCGACAGTTTGTTTTAAATGAAAATAAAATTTGATCATGTCAAATTTTTCATAGTTAATTTTCTATAATGAGGAGAAAAGCGAAATTTTATGTCATGATATATCATAGGTTTTTTAATGTTTTGTTTAACATCACAAAGATCAAAATTCTTATGTAAAAAAGACAAATGATAATCAATTTGAAAATTCTATTCAGATAAAAACTATGTATTCATATTGACTTTAATTTGAAGACAAAACGAACTGTCTCATAGTTCTATTTAGAAAAACTACAAGTATGTACTTGGAAGATATAAGGAGATTATAGATAAATTGGGTGTGGGGTGTGAGTAAAGGAAAGATCTATACCTAAACTCACACCCGTCAACCATGTCTGAATGATCATCGAAGTAGTAGTGAAAGTGTTGAACCACAAGAATTTACATTAATTAAACTTCCTATTCATGATGATCATATAACAGCTAAAATAAAACCATATGTAACATCATCAACAAATACTGTTTATTTACCTGCTGCTCAACTTTGACTAGAAACAATGTATGATGAAATAAATTGTTAGCTTCATTCTGATATACATTGTGTAGCTTTTGAAAGACATTTACATAGGACTCTTATTTGTACACGATGTGCTACTCAAAATATCGACTATAAACAATTTATTCATATTTATGATCAATTTAGAATATAAACTGAATTTTTTTCTTGAGAATTATTTCTATTAATGGACTGTATCGAAATTCACAAGTGTCATTTTGTTAATAGGAACTTCTAAAAAGTTGAGTAATTATTTATTCTATCAGTCGAATAATGATTTTTCTATAAAAAAATAAAATTTTGATTTATCATGAGAATCGATTTCTTCTTAACGAGAAATGTATGAAATGTTCGGATGAAATTTTCAATTGAAAATTGCTTACCAATAATCTTTTGATCTTTTGGCATCATGAACAGCTATCTAGACATTTTTTTTTGCTGTCATCCTCATCCTATCAATCTAGGGTAATCTTTACTTACTCTAATCTTATTCTACCTTATAGAACAGAATAAAATATAATAGATTTACATTTTTATGTTTAACTGATTGTTGATATTGGAAAAATCAATGGCTATTATTGTCTTATTTCTAATGATAGTATTAATATTGACCATTGATTATTAGATTTTAATTTTTATTAATAAATATTCAATAATTATGTTTTGTTTATTTAATTAATTGATGAAACATTTTAACGGCTTTTTCTAATAATTCATTAATCCCAGGAATTTTTATAGGATAATCTTCATTCTATTCCATAGATTCAAAATCATTTATTGATCAACAATTATGACAATAGAGATAAGAAAAAGATAGGCATATTTCAATATCTGATGAAATTGAAAATCATGTGTGTCATGATCTGTAGAACTAGTGAAACTAGTGGTTTATTCGAGACCTTTTCTCAACATTTTTTATTATCCTTTCCAAAGAAAAACTCAAGATACATTTGAAATAGTTGTGATCTTTAAATCATTATTTGTGTCTAAACAAGAATAATAGTTAGACATCAATAAGCTTCTTTTCGAGTAGAATATATTTTATTCCTAAATATTCTCATGCATGATATTGCTTTCTTTTTTTGCATCTGAAGACTGTCGTAAATTTTACTAGTTGTTAGACAATCCCATCTACTGTTCAATATTTGCCTGTAGTATGATAGAGACATATTATAGATAAATAAATGTTAATGAGTCATGTTTTTCAAAAGTCAATTGAACTTTGTTTACAAGTGCAATAGTATAGATAAATGTATATGGTAAATCATGAACATAGAAACATTAACATAAAGAAAGACAAACGAACGAGAAGTAACATATGTCAACACATATTAGAGCTCTGCATTATACAAGACAAATCAAAACTTATCTCAGAGAAATTCTATGAGAGAAGAGCTCCGTTTGTTTTTCCATTGAAAGTATAGTTTTTCGAATCGATAGTTTCTTTTAATGATTTTTCTTCTTCTTTTTCTTAAATTATCTTTTCTATATATCAATTGATATTGTAAGTAGATTTTCCAAAATAAAATAAAACTCTTAAAATAAATTACATACATTAAAAACTTTAGTTTTAATGAGAAACACAAGCAATTCTCTCATTAACGCTGCCCCACTCAAAAAAAGTCAATTTTCGTCAAAATTATCGAAATTGAGATAAATGCATCGGAAGATAGCCCGTCTTCTGCTCTTTCAGAAATCACATTGGTTTTTCTTCGGCACCTCGTTTTTGGCCAAAGTTTTCGATGATTTTTGTTAAGCTCTTCTTGAAAAATATGCTTATTTAAAAAAAAAACGAAAAATGTTTTTCGTTTTGTCTCAGTTTAGGCTTTCCGAACCGCGCAATCCATTTTTCTCTGTCCAGGCTCATTCAATATATTTTAATTTTTTTTTTGTTTGAAAGAGCACGTCAAGATGCAGTGCAGTACAGAGTCCTTTTTTTAATTAAGCTTTATTTTTTATTATATATACAGACATTTATGTAATTAGACACCCATTTTTGGCGCGTTTTTTGAGTCACTGAACTTGTGATTCCCTGTTTTCGCTAAAAAAGTAAGAATTAAAAAAAAAGGACTCTGTACTGCACTGCATCCTGAGATACTCCTTCAAACAAAAAAAATTAAACATATTGAAAGAGCTTGGACAAAGAAAAATGGATTGTCAAATGAGCTATTTTTTACCCTTGTTTGGTTCATATCTCTGTCAAACATCAGGGTATCGAACTGAAAATTTTATCACAGCCTCCTCACTTCAGCCCCAATATATGCTCCAAGTTTCAGCTCATTTGAACTTTCCTGGACTAAGATCAATTTTTGAGTGGGGGGGGGGGGGCCTTAAGCTTCATCCAAAAGAAACTTTGAAACTGCTGCGGGTTATAGAATGCTTTAAGAAGTTTGATTTGATCCCATCTCGTACAAAGCTCTTAATCATATGTATGTATAAATGAGAAAGAAAACGAAAAAACAACAACAAAAAAAAAATTAGTGTTTTCCATTGGAACCGTTGAAATTTATTGCTCTTCTATATCGTTCATCGTCTTAAGCATGAATGTATTATTGACATCATCATCATCTATGCCTGTTTCTTGCTTATCACTATCTCCGCTTTTTGTTCTTATTCTTGATTGCAATAATTGTAAGTCGTTTTTGATAAATGTATATAATTGATTATTAACATAATTTATTATTTTATCTTCTTCATTCTTTCTAAACATCCAATTTGGATAAATTTTTCCATCAGTTATTAAAGCAGTAACATAAAACATTCGATTGAAATCAATATTTAATTTTTCAATATATATTGAACATAGATAACATGGTAGTGTCGATATTCCAATTTCTACATCTTTATCATGAACTTCTTTTATATTTTGTTCAATTAAATAATCTATCATTCGAATTTCACTATGTAAACATGTTTGCAATTTTAAATTTGTATCATATTGAACAAGTTTATTTTGAATATATTCATTATGGAAAGCAGTTTTTGTTTGATCATTGTGTAAACCACATGCCGACCAAATTTTATCAAATGATGATGATGGTGTTTCTTTTAATTCAACGATGTCTTCAATTGGTTCAATAGAAGACCATTTGAATATTTTTATATATTTCACCATATTCAGATTTTCGTTTGTTTAAAGTTTTTAATATTAAATTAAATGATCGTCGATGTGCCGATACTTTATCTAAGTAATACAGAATACGTTCAACATTATCAATTGAATATACTATTGAGAGCATAGAACGAAATATTTCAGAATGATATAATAATTCAGCAGTTGCTTGAAATTTCCAAATAATTTTTAGTTCAAGATTGCTTTCATTATTTCTGATTGGGTCTCGATTTGAAATAATATAGTTGACCCAATTAAATAATATTAAAATATATTCTTTCAAAGACATTTTATTCTCTTTTAAATGATAATAATCGGTTGAATCTTTGTTTAATATATTGTAAGTAATTTTCTCACATAAATCATCAACATTTTTATTTGGTAATTTTTCAAGATTTGAAACAACATCATTAAATAAATCATCAGTTATACGTTTAATACATTTATTCTTGTTATATTCAAATATAATAGATTTTAATGATGAATATATTTCGTTCATGCCATGTTGATTTGATGTTAAACAATGTTGTGAATATTCACGTATTAAACCAAAAAATTTATCAAAATATTCTTCATCATTATCTTTTAATTGTTTATTACGTGTTATTAATACTTTTTTTTCTTTCAACAATGGATAAACTGATGTACATGGATTTGAACCATTAAGTAACAAAGCAAGACCATCCAGAAAACTATGACGTCGAGTTTTTGAAATAGTTGGGTGTTTGTCAGTTTTAAAAGGAAATATAGATAATATTATTAACTTATTATAAAATCCAGGTGTAGTCATCTAAAAATAAAAGAAAATTTATCGAACTTTGTTAACATGATATTGTAACAATAATTTATCTTTTAAAAATTATTACAAAACTTTTTTGTCATTTTACATCATCAGATTCCTTCAAATTCTATTTCTAACTGAGATTGATGATGAAATGAATTAAATATATGAAAGAAATCATTTGAATATGTTCTACATATTTGTCGTTTGATCTCCTTCAATGAAATGCTTGAAGTTTCTGATAAAAGACAACATCATTTAACCATGAGTCGTATGTTTCAGCAGAAGAAAGAAAAACTCCATTGATTCATCTCCGTCAATCAATGTGCATTGAAAAGCGAAAGGTCGCGCAAATAGCAAACGTCTATATTTATTACTTGTGTGGTACAAAACATACTAACTAACTTTTGCAAAAGAAAAATTTTAGTTAGCGTCATCTTTCATTAGACTACACAAGTGGATATGACATGAATTCCTAGTCGATGAAATTGACCAACTGTTTCTCTATCGTAATAATAGATGTTCTTCTGTTTATATACAGTGAAAACATTTTAATATGAACAAGAGAATGATCCATACCGTTTTTATCATTATATTTGACGTTTCATTACGTACTCATATCAGCAGTCAGAAAATGAAATGAATATACAACACAAGAAAGAAAGAATAAATAGATAAATAATACAAAGAAAGCAAGATGAACAAAAGAACAAAGATACTTATTAGAAGAAAATATGTTCTTCTAATAAGCGTCTTTGTTGTTTTGTTGATGTCTCTTTCTTTCTTATCGTGTATATGCATTTCATTTTTTTTCTGACTAGTAGTGTAATGAATACATAACGAAACGTCAAATAAAATGATAAAAATGGTATGGATCATTCTCTGATTCTTATTGAAGTGCTTGTTTATCTTTGTACATTTCATTTTCTTCATTTCCTTTTTCAATTCGATTATTCATGTGTTTTTCGATATCACATATAGAATGAGTTGTCTATAAGATTTCCTTTAAGTTTTTCTTATTGAAAATCATTATACTTCTATCATATTTTATTTCATTCATTTCAATTATTCTATATTGATGTCAGCAAAATTTTTTATTCAAGAAAATCATTTACAAAAAAGTATAAAATGGTTATGTCTCTGTTATTTATGGCTATCGATTTGTTATATTTTTTGATAAAAATAAAAATAAATTATATTTTTTTGTTTTTATCTTCGTTCTATTCTCTCTGTTGCTATTTAATTTTTTGAGTATTCTATATTTCTATCATTATCAAATATGTTATATTTATAGTTTGAGACTATTTAATTTTATTTTTGTGTTATTTTTCTATTTTGAAATATTTATTTTGTTTTTCTTATGTGTCTATTCATAATGGTCTTCAACAATATCTCAAACAAATAAATATATATATTTATAAATGGGAAACTAAATCATTGAAATATCTATTAGATTATTTTGAAATTTATTACTTTTTTTTCCTTGATAATAGAAAAATTATTCATAGTATGTTCGTAGAGATATATATGACGTAAAATTTTCTTTAAGACTATATCGTAGTAGAATATACTTGAATTGTTACTGTTAAGTTAAGTAAAGAACTATATTCAAACATAGAGAATAGAAAAACAAACACATTAATAGTTATCCGACTGGTGATAGCATAAAATTTTTGAAAAGAACAAAACCTTCTAGTAAATGTTTGTGTGGTTTTTTTCATCGGCGAGTCGTCAGCTGGCAATTAGTGCCAATTGCCACATCCTTAAAAAATGATTAGTGGCATATACATAGCCAAAATACACTTGAATATAACCATTGGTGGATTACCATAGAGCAATTGGCGGCAATTGGCACGCCTCAATTGAAGACGCTGGTCCGCCTATTTTTTTTTTTAATAAGTTCATTTGATATCTCCCTTTTCTAAATACGTTAGCTAACCTATGACTTTCTAATTCTACAAAAGAATCAACCAAACACTTTATGACGATTATGCACTTGAAAAACAGATACTTTTTTTCATAATTCTACGCTACTTTTCAATCGAAGCTTAATCATTAAAAATAAAACAGTTTTAAAAAAATTTTTGAATCGTTTTTCTGAATATTTATTTTAGATTGCAAAAGCAATGTGGTTTATGAAAGTAAAAAATATTTTCTCTAATACCTTTTGTTCATATAGAATCAATTTTTTTCCATAGAAATAGTAGATTACACAAGTCAACTAAAGTATCTCAACTAGACAAATGTAAGACATGTGTTTGTTTCAGTTATATTAATCATAGATGCAGCGAGACCGTTTTGTTTTCGGTCTGATCTGCAGACCTTTGGAAGGATAGACTGATTCTATAGTTTTATTAGAGATATGAATAGAATTGCGTAAAATGCTCAAGATACTTGTTTTTTATTTTCTCACACTACTATCCATCAGATATTCAATTGTTCTCCATTCATATGATGAAAGTACATTTTTTTATTAAAGAAAAAATCAAACCTTATAGAACTGCGAGAAAAATAAAGTCCTGTCTATACAAATAAATAAGTCTCATTCTATTATAGCAATTCTAGATTTTACAAAATGAATATCGTCTCTATTCATATTTTCGGTCTATTGAGATACATTCTAACTTAAGTACAAGTTCGTATAAAACTTCAAATAAGAGTTATTTAGTTTAAAAGAATTCTTTATCATCTAGAATAAATTTAGTCTTTGAAGTTGACTTGAACTCTGACAGTTAAATGCCAATTTGAAACTTTAAAATTGATCTTAGCTAGAATGAATGAGAAATATTGATATTATTAATATACACTATCGTCATTCATTATAGGACAAGACGAGGTGATACATTTACAAGTCTGTTGATAATAAGATTCGCATAAAACTATGAGAATCAGAATATTCAACAGATGGTCATCTACAATTGAGTTATGATGATACTTAAACATTGATAATTCAAGTTTTAAGTAAAACGTTGATTTCAAGAAAAAACCTTACCAACATATTTTAAATCCGTAATACCCTTTCTGATCTGTATGAATCAATTTAGAAAATAATTTACAACATGTCATCTAGATAGGGAATTGCGGGACCATGTTTTCTTGGTCCCGATCCCGATCCCGACTACTACTTTTCTTCTAGTTCCGGTTCTGATCTCGTGTCGTTAATAGCGAACATAAAAAATTTTTTAAGAAACCTAGTATGGTGTCGCACATAAGTGTGCGCTATGTAATGTGTATATTTCGGATTCTGCTCTTATAACTCGTCTAAATAGTCTATTATCTGTCTATGTGTGAATATTATAAACGTGATAATATTAATGGATATTTGAAAACATCGATTTTCGTTTTTTTTTTTTTTATGAAATAATAAAAAAACTTATTGATCATCAATCGACTTGAAAAAACAATTGAGTTCTATTTTTTATTCAAAATAATTTTTCAGGACCAGCTAAAAATTGGTTTCAGTTCTGGTTCCGATCCTGTAAAAAATATTTTTTCGTCCCGAAATTGGTCCCGTAGAACCGGGACCAGGACCATTTTGCTGTTTCCTACATCCAGATCATAAACATGGATCCTGTCTGACTCCTGTGGCAGGTATCTGCAAGCCGCCAGCCTAGGCTGGCATCTATGAAATGAAAATTATAACATTTATCAATAATTGAACAATAATTAAATCATCAAAATAAACACT